TGAATGCTGGGGGAAGTTGTTTGTCCCCAGAGGAACGGGATCAGGCCCCTTGTTGCTGTAAGCAGGGCCGGTGCAAGGATTTTTGCCGCCCTAGGCTAAAAAAAAATTTGCCGCCCCCCCCATATTTCCTGCCCACCATGTGACATCACAATACCCCACCCATATGTTCTGCCATATGAGCCAACGCCAGTCTTCACATTTTATCTGAAAAGACAGAGTGTTTACATTAAAAAGTCTACAGGCAAAGGCTATAGACACCAGAACCACTACATTAACCTGTAGTGCTTCTGGTGACTATAGTATCCATTTAATGTGAGGTAAATTAGAGATTAGTGCCACTAATAATATATTGGATTGCCTACTTACCACCAGATGAGGACAAGAGGCTGATGATGGGCTCAGTCTGGCTCCACAGGTCTGGTGTAGAACAGGAAGCAGCGCCATTTTTTGGGGCCCCTTACACAGCTCAATGTCTGGACCCCCAGGGCTTGACCGTGAGTATGCCTACAATGCCCACCAATAAATCCACCTACATGGCCCACCCATGAGTTCTCTCACAGGTAGTGGAGTGTATGTGTGTAGGGGATGTTTTATGTGTTATTGTAGAGGATGTAATGTGTGTGTGTTCTTATAGAATGTAGTGTATAGGGATACCAATTTGTGTAAGGGATGTAGTGTGTGTATAGTGGATGCAGTGTGTGTTTGCGTGCAAGGAATGCATTGTTTGTTTCTGGGTGTGTGTGAGTAAGGGATGCAAGGTGTGTTTCTGTGTATGTAATTGAATGCAGTGTGTGTCTGTAAGGGGTGCATTGAGTGTGTAAGAGATGCATTTTGTTTCTGTGTGTAAGAGAATGAGTGTTTGTGTGAGCGTAAGGGATGCATTGTGTGTTTCGGGTGTGTCTGTGTGTGAGTAAGGATGCATTGTATGTTTCTGTGTGTGTGTGTGTGTGGGGGGGGGGATGAATTGTGTATGTGTGTAGTGTAAAAGAGAGGGTTTGTGGGGTAGGATAGGGACTGAGAGGGGAGCAGCTCTTTATTTTGTTAAAATTTTTCATAGTGCTCTCCCCTCCTGTCAATTAGTGTTCTCCCTTTCTGTCCCTTAGTGCTCTCCCTTGGCCCCCTGTCCCTCTGCAGTCCCCCATTGGTGGTCTTCTCACTCCCCCCTCTCCCTCTTAGTGGTCCTCCCTCCCTCCCCCCTTTGGTGGTCCTTCCCCTCTCCCCCCCCCTTAGTGGTCCTCCCTCTGGCAAACCCCTAGTGGACCTTCCCCCCTCCTCCCTCAGTGGTCCTTACTCCCCCACTCCACCATTGGTCCTTACTCCCCCCAGTGGTCCTTAGTGTCCCCCTCCTCCCCAGTGGTCCTTAGTGTCCCCTCCACATCCCCCAGTGGTCCTTAGTCCCACCATCCTCCCCCAGTGGACCTTAGTCCCCCCTTCTCCCCAGTGGTCCTTGGTCCCCCCTCCTCCTCCAGCCCAGTGGTCCTTAGTCCCCCCTCCTCCTACCACTCCTCCCCCCAGTGGTCCTTAGTGCCCCCTCTTCCTCCAGTTGTCCTTAGTCCCACCCCTCCTCCCCCAGTGGTCCTTGGTCCCCTTCTCCCCAGTGGTCCTTGGTCCCCCTCTCCCCCCAGTGGTCCTTAGTCCCCCCTCCTTCTCCTCCCCCAGTGGTCCTTAGTCCCCCCTCCTCCTCCAGTGGTCCTGTCCCGCGTTCCGTGCCGGCCGGCCACGCTACATTGAGAGACCGGCAGGAGGGAGTGCTCTGCGCTTCCCTCCTGCCAGTCGCTCAAATCCGGCCGCCCTCCATACAGCAGTGCTGCGCCGCCTGAGGCTTGCTAAAGCGCTTAGTCGGCGCAGCATGTTGGAGCTGCAGCGTGATTCCAGGTGCAGGGATCCGGTGCCCCCTGCTAAGTTGCGCCCTAGACGGCTGCCTAGGTCGCCTTACAGGTAGCGCCGGCCCTGGCCGTAAGCATGGTGTTTCATGAGTGACTTTTTGACAGACATGAATAGCATTAGCATCACATGATTTCCTCTGCATTTCTGTGTACCTGTATTTCAGACAGGCAAAGAAAATATGTATAACAAGAAAAACTATTATACCTTCTAAAAGACAAAATATAGTAGGGAGACCAAATAAAGTAAAACAACAAATTAAATTATAGGGAACAATTATTGCCTGGAACAATGCAATAATAAAAGAACAAAAAATATATATAAATAGCATACAGTCTCAGGTATGTTTATCTTTCTTCCCTTGAGGAGATCAAATTTCTTGTAGTAGTTTGGATCTGGTGTTACATTAAAAACAAGACAAGAAGGAACGAGTGGTGCAGAATGTCCTAACAAAATTGGACAAACACAGAAGAACACCAAGTAGTGCTCTCTGTACAAATGGGCGAGAGGGTGATAATAAAATCCTATGCGAGCATGACTCCTATGAATGGGTGCACCATTACACAAAACTGTGTCTTAACATAAACAAGTGTAAATATTTTAAAAACCCACCTCAACTTTCAATATTATTTGTGTGCAAAAATCAAGCAATGCGCAACAACCACAATAGTATGTACAAAACACACTTTGTTTTAAAAGTTCTTTATTTTAGGCATGCAGTGATATGTACAATCTTTTGTAATGACAAATGACAATATATAAGCATAGAAGGTCAAGAGGTGCTGCACTTTTTTTTGTTTGGTTGTAAAGATATAAGAAGCAGGCTAGTGAACATGTCCAAATAGAGATAGTTATATTGGTGTGCAAACAGATTATGTATTTCAGACATAGTAGATTAGGAAAACATAAAGCATGGTGTAGGTAGAACTTAAACTAGGCATGTCAGGAGAGAGAGCTGTATAACATGCTATCTATAACAAGTGAACTATATGCACTGCAGAGCCAGAAGGCTGAATTTATCCCTTAAAGGGACACTGGAGCCACCCAAAACACTTCATTACATTGAATTTGTCTGTGTGCAGTGTCTCTGTTTTCTTTATCCTGCAATGTAAAACAATGTAGTTTTAGAGAAACTGAAATGTTCACATTGCAGTGTTAAGATTGCCTCAAGTGGCATTCTACCAGAATGCCACTAGATGCGTTTCCTGCAGTGTGTGTGATGTGCGGTGTGTGGTCCTCGCCAAAGATTTGCATTAGGTTTCCCCATTGGCTGACATTGGTGGAGGAGCCCGACCCAGCATCAAGGAACATCAGCGTTGGAATCTGGTAAGTGAAAAAAGTTTAAATTTAACCTTTTATATTGCTGGGGAGAGGGCGTGGGGGGCGGCGGGAGCGGGTTCCTATAGTATTAGGAATACAGCTTTGAATTCATAACACTATTGCATTCCTTTAAATCTCTGCATGACAAGATTTTATGATGGACAGATCAGAGTTGTGTGAAAGTTGTAATTTAGTGTTTTTTTTATGGCATTTCATTAAGAAATCTATTGGCTGAGCTACAATTAAACTATACCCTTTCATTGCTTCTTGATGACACAAAGGTCTATATTATTGGAGAAACACTGCAGGTTGGGATGCAGTGAAAGAGACCTATGACATTAAATACAGGCTACAGTAACCTGCAAAATAGTTTTACCATAGAGGACGTGAGAATGATAGAGGAGACAGGCTTACAAAATGTTGCAAAATATTTACATGTTTATATATTTTGCAAACAATACAGATTGAGCTAATTGAGGATGCAAACATACAGGTAATTAAGGCTCAAAGCTGTAAAATGCATTAAAGTATTTTTAATGATGCATTATATAAGAGGTGCTTTTTATAAAAAGTGGCTCTGTCGCCCCAAACCTTACTTTCTACAGTTGTTTTATCTGCTCTTCTTCTCTCCAAATATGGATTTATTTCTCTTTAAAAACATAAGACAAAGTAGGGATGAATCAGGTTTCAGTTATTTCCTTAATTTATTTTAAGCATCTCTGATTAAAACATCCTTCAGTTTAATTTCTGAACACAAATCCAACATCCTTACCTGATAAACTTACACCTGTTTAAGGTGATTTTTCCCCCCTCATGAATGGAGGCAAACTCGAAATAAATAATGGGTAATATAAAATAAACTTGCTCAGTACAGATGATCAGTCTAGGGCAGATCCTGACAGCATCGTTATGTGCCCCGGCCGAACAACAGTGAGTCTAACCTTTTAAAATCTCTATGCATGATTTAGTATAGGTTTAATCGACACATGTGGAGTGGGTTGGATGTGGTCCAACAAAGCATAAAATCTCAATTTTAATGTGTTGCATGGCAGGTAAGATTAAATTAATTATTAAAAACCAGTGAACCATGAAATGCTAACACAAATAAACAGTTATACCTGTATTTTTCTTTACATTCTCGTAAAACAGATTTTTTTCGATTTTAAGTTTTTTTACATTTTCTGTAAGTTATAATGAAAAGGATTAGCAAGGCATGAGTTGGAAATACAATGCACATTTTTATATAGTGACAGAAAGACTAGTTGCAAGCTAACATGGAGACAGTGCTGTATGTATGTTCAGTTTGATATCTAGTAACCCCAGATTCGACAATGTGTGTGCTACCAAATCCCATAGTTGGGCTATGGTTGGGCATCACCACCAAACGTGTGTCAGTATGGTTGCAGCGCCAGCAGTTCTTGGAAGTCGTAGGGTACATCTTATGCATTTTATGTGGAGTGATACAATCTGTAGATGAGCTTCCTATGTGCCTCTACATGGGAGTAAGATTTAGTAATACCTCTCAGTGCGTTTATCGCGGCCAGCCATTCGCGGGGAGACAAGTCACATTCTGTTTCTTGTTGTCCGTGTTTGAGAAAGGGAAACGGTATATCAGGCCCTATCTCTCTCAATGCTTTATAGCAGATCGATAAGGTCTTGGGATGTGTCTGATTTTTACAGCATCTATCATACATTTTGTGGGCCACAACAGTTAAATGTGGGGTAGTGGCTTCTTGTGTTTGTACATGAGACATGACAATACTTTTCAGCTGTAGGTACTGAAATACATATGATTTGTTAAGTGGTATGTGTTTTGGAGGTCTGGGAACGATATGATCTCTTTGTTTTTTTTTAAATTCTTTATTTTGGCAGGTGATATATGACAATACAGCAGTTTCATTGTATCACAGTATATAACCATGTGCAGTATTTGCAAACAATGATGTCTAGTGTGTTCACCTATTTTTATGTTCAAATGATAACTATCGGTAGATGAGTGGTGCCCAGGAGCCTGGTGGTGTGTAGTCGAAGTGTCCGCCTTTTCCTTCGTGTAGGCTAAGAAACATGAGACTATGTGTCTGTGGCGTTAGTGTGTCTCCCAGGTGTTGTGAGGCCTCTAACCCATGAGGCTATGGGGGAGGGGGAGGGGATATTGTAAGCTTTAAACCCCCTATATCTTTTGGGGCATTGAGAGCTATCTATTGGGGGTGTGTTCGTGTCGCTATTGCAGCACTTGGTGGACCGCCATGTAGCGGTTGTATGGTTATCAGTGGTATCTAGCCATAGTTAGGCACATGTAGGTAACATGGTCAAACATAAGTAATGCGTAAAAGCAAAGGATGAAACTAAAACAAAAACAGTTGCTTCTTTTCCGGACTTTACGTTTTTAAGTCAGTGAGTCCCGTTCGTTCCATGGCACAAAGGGAGTGGTTGCCGTTACGTCCCATTGGTGATTGGACCTCGTCGATGGGGTTGCTTCCTTTATGCCCAGGGACTGAAGGAAGGCCGGACCTTCTGTGGGGCTTGTTACTCGCAGGGCCTTTCCCTCTCGAAATACTGTGAGAGATCTCGGGTAAGTCCAGCCGTAGGCTAGTCCCGCAGTTTGTAGAGCTGCAGTTATGGGTTTCATCGATTTTCTCCATAATAGGGTGGGCCTGCTGAGGTCTTGAAAGAGGGTAATGTTGTGTGTTTCAAAGTGGAGCGGGGTTTTCCCTTTAAGTGCCGTGAGGAGCCTTTGTTTGTCTGCAACGTTTGGACAGCACAGGATTATGTCTCTAGGTGCCGTGGTGGGCGCTTGTGAGGATTTTGTGATGCGGTATGCACCATCAAAGGTGAATTGTTTGGCGGATTTCACAGGTAAGATGGTTGCTGCCAAACGCCTTATGAAGTGGGGAATTTCTTCAGGGGGGAGCGAGTCTGCTACCCCTCGGATTTTTATGCATGAGTAAATTGTGAATGTCCTCCTTTGTGATTGGGGCCATTCCGTTTGCTATGGCTGGGGCCTCAGGTATTACTATTCCCGCCGTGGGCGGTGTTGGAGTAGCCTCTAGCTGTGTAGCTGTCATACCTCTCGTGCGTGCAGGGGCCACCAGCATCTGACCGATGTCTTGCCCGTCTTTTAGGGTAGGTGAAGTGGGCTTTTTGCGCCCCATGTCTGGTTCTTTAGGGGTTTGTTGGCTGTTTGCCGTATGCAAGTTACCTCCAGTGTCCAGGAAGCCCCAGTATGCTGCATTCAGGTCCTGCGGGATTCCCGCGCTGTAGGCCCAGTTCCCCGCCGTCGGTTTTTGCCACTCGTGGGGAAAATGAATGGCATCTGCCTGCTCGGGGCCGCTTCCCCTGTATGATGGTGACATTTTTTCGCCGGTTAGACTCTCGGTTTCGGGGATTTTGTTGCTTTATTTGGTGGCGTGGTCGGAGCTCAGGGAAATGGCGTCTAGCTCAGTGTGTTGCTTAGCTCCGCCCCCCCATGATCTCTTTGCTTTGGTAGAAATCTCCTATAGTGCGTATTCCCATGCTGATCCATGAATTAAAGGTGAGCCAGGGAGAGAGAGCTCAGCTGTTAGTGCTGACAAGAGTGTGTTGTAGCGATATTTATGAGACCCTCCCAGCTGTGTCATGAATTGATCCCACTGGGCAATGGATAGTTGTGTGGTTGGGAACAATCATAAAGGTTTCGCACTTAGGTGTTTGGGTGTCCACATAATGTTGGTTAGTGTGGAGCCATTCACCCGGGAATTCTCAATATCAACCCACTGTAGTGTACCCTTGCGTTCATGCATTTTAATTGCAGAGAACAACAAGGAAGCCTTGTGGAAAGCCGCTATGCTGGGTAGACCCACTCCTCCCTAAGTTGGATGTTTTTGCATGAGTGAGAGTGGTATGTGGGGTCTATGGTACTCCCAAATGTATGCACTAATGATTTTCTGCAGGCGTTTGCAGAGAGAGAGGGGCATAGGTAGGGGTAATATCCTGAAGACATACAGGAGTTTGGGCAGATTGACCATTTTAGTTGTGTTAACTCTTCCCAGCCATGAGAGTTTTACCAACTTCCATTTTGAGAAGGCTGTGGTGCATATGCTAGGCAAGGTTTTGTAATTCATATTAGATGTATTTTGTAGAGAGGGTGCCAACTTATCCCCTAGATAAGTCAGACTAGACTTTCTCCAGTCAAACTGGTATTGCTGCGAGAGTTAGTGTACCACATGTGTTGGTAGATCAACGGGTAAGGCTCGTGTTTTTGATTGGTTTAGTTTGTAATGGGAAATGTTCCCATATTCTTGTAGCAATTGGCGGAGAGCCGGTACCAAGGTGGTCGGTTGTTCTAAGGTTAGTAGTATGTCATCTGTAAGCATTTAGAGGCAGTAGCTGTCGTTGCCTATATTCACCCCATGTATAGCAGGATGGTGTCTAATTTTATACGCCAATGGCTCCACAGAGAAAATAAACAGCAATGGGGAGAGAGGTGGTGACAGGGATCTGTCTAGAGCCATTGGTGATTTGGAATGTGGTGGAAATAAACCCAGTGTTGCAGACGCTGGCTGCTGGGCGATTCCTGCTGTAAATGCCCGCGGAAAACCAAATTGCATGAGAACTCTCTTCATGTATCGCCAATTGAGCCTGTCAAAGGCCTTCTCTGAATCTAATGCTAGGAGAAGACCTTCTCTCTTCGACTCCTGCAAATGTGAGATATTTGGAAAAAGAGAAAGAAAACAGCGCTAAATTGCCACAATAAAATTATAAGAAAGGCAGCAATCCTCAAAGGGGAGTCCCCAATAATCCCCTAATGATAACAGATAGCAAGAACAAACATAGATATAAGGATGCGCCTAAAACTTGATAAAATAAAAGACTAAATTAGTCAGATAAAATACAGAATAAAATAAGTAATAAAACAATAGTCCAATAAAATAGGCTTATCACAGTCCGTGAGGGTAGGTCCCACTTGTAAAGGAATATTCTTTAGGGTGTAGGTGGGATCATATCTTCAAATGTTGAGAATTCAGCATATGTGGAGAGAAAAATAAAAACAGGACTCCAATGGCACAGTAAATCGGTGTATAAAATAAATATAAAGGTATAAAATCAGTCTTACTCACACTTTTCAGAGCTAGGATCAGCTCTGATATTGCTCGCGTAAAGTGGAATAATCCCCACTTCAAGGATATATGGAGTAAATGTTGATTGTTGAATATCTGACGTGGGTTCAGCCATTTGCTTTTTCCTTTACCTGATTTTACATACATTTTCTTTTATTGCTTTTACGTATACGGCTCACCCTGCAGGAAGTGCAAAGAATCCATAGGTGGGGATTATACCACCTGAGCGCCTTCACTGAGCAGTTTTGAGTCTGCTGTACTTTACTTTCTTTTAATTTTATTACATACAGTGAGCACTATATATTTTATTTTATTTTTTCCTCTGGGTCGTATCACGTCAAATTGAACGCTGAACCCACGTCAGATATTCAACAATCAACATTTACTCCATATATCCTTGAAGTGGGGATTATTCCACTTTACGCGAGCAATATCAGAGCTGATCCTAGCTCTGAAAAGTGTGAGTAAGACTGATTTTATACCTTTATATTTATTTTATACACCGATTTACTGTGCCATTGGAGTCCTGTTTTTATTTTTCTCTCCACATATGCTGAATTCTCAACATTTGAAGATATGATCCCACCTACACCCTAAAGAATATTCCTTTACAAGTGGGACCTACCCTCACGGACTGTGATAAGCCTATTTTATTGGACTATTGTTTTATTACTTATTTTATTCTGTATTTTATTCGACTAATTTAGTCTTTTATTTTATCAAGTTTTAGGCGCATCCTTATATCTATGTTTGTTCTTGCTAAATGTGAGATAATGTTCAATATTTTGCGCATATTATCTGATCCCTGCCCGCTGCGAACAAAACCCTATTGATCTGTCTGAACTATGCGTGTTATAAATGTTGCCATTCTGTTTGCTAATATTTTGGCATACAATTTCACATCTGCGTTCAAGAGGGAGATAGGGCAGAAGTTTGGGCAGGTGGTGACTGGTTTTCCTGGCTTTGGTAGAGTAGATATGTGAGCTAGTAACATGTCACTAGGGAGGGTTCATTTGGTGTAGCAGGTATTAAAGAGGGTCGATAAGTGTGGGAAGAGAATCTCTACAAAGGTTTGGTAATAGCTATTTGTATGCTGGGAGGTTTTTAATAGCCTCCGTGATTTCTTATGTGCTAAAAGGTGCCGAGATCCATTCAATCTCTTCAGGTAGGAGGTGAGGTAAATTCACTGATTCTAGGAATGTTTTGATGTCTTTCACCGTTGGCGTTCGGGTGTCAGGGTTGTCTCTAAAATTGTACAGTGTGCTGTAGTATGTAGTGAATGCGTTAACAATATCTTGAGGGTTTAGCATTTTCCCTTTTTCTTTGGTGATATATGTGCTATTTTAGAATGATACATGCGGGCTTGTAGTTGGGAAGCTAATTGAGCCCCTGGTTTATTGCTCTGGGCAAGGAATTTATACTTGCATTTTCAGAGTATGTATGTGGTTTTTGCTAGTTCTAATTCTTTTGTTTTGTTTTGCAAGAGTCTCAGTCGGTTCTGAGTGGTAGGTGAAATTTGTTTTTGTGTGTTAGGTCGGCAAGATCTTGAATAGTTTTAGTATATATTTTGAGTCTCTGTTTTTTTCGTAGCTAGCTGCCTTTATAAACTTCCCCTAGTGACCATAAATGGCCAAAAATTCTCAATATTTGTGTCGTCAGGGGAGTTGAGTTTGAGATAGTCTTTTAAATCTTGTTGTACTGTTGCCACTATTGACGCATCGTGAAGCAGTAAGTCTCCAGGCACCTGAATCTGCGGTAGGAAATCTTTCGTGTAGGGACAGGGTGATCGGAGCATGGTCTGACCATGTTATTAATCCAATCTTGGTGTCTTGGATTTTCGTTTCTAGGAAACAGGGCAGAAGGAACCTGTCAATTCATGTGTATGTGTTGTCTACCATGGAATGATATGTAAAATCCTTCTCTATCGGGTGTAATACCCTCCAAGAGTCTAAGTAATTATGTTGTAGTAGTTTGTTTCTTAGTTTGGCAGAGGAATTTTCTCTTTTCATGCATGTGGTGTGTGAGACCTTGTCCGCCGAAGTGGAGTCAAGTGATTGGCCTAATATAAAATTAGTATCTCCCCCGATGACTACCTTCCCCGAATTTGTGCAGTGTTGCCAGAACAAAGATTTTGTCAAAAAAGGGAGATGGTCATAATGCGGGCCATAAATATTGATAAAGGTGTAAGGTTCATTATTCACATAACATTGTAGTAATAGGTATCTGCCTGCTTTGTCCCCCAGTTTTTTTTTTAACTAGATTAAAAGAGACGGCTCCGCTAATTAACACTGATACCCCCTTTTCTTGCATTTGAAACAAGAGTGGAAACATGTGGGAAGTGTTTGAAATTAAATATGAAGTGGGTCTCTTGGCAGAAGAGTACATGTGCATTGTGTTTTCTCACTTCTGTTAGTGTCAATCTACGCTTGTTAGGGTAATTTAACCGCTTAACGTTGATAGACATTATATTTAGCGCCATAGTGGGGGATAAGACTCATTTGGTATTTGGATTGCTCCCACTCCGTTGACAGGGGGACTTTACCAGCTACCCTCCAACATGGGGGTCACCTTTTTATTTTGTTTATTTTTGCTTATTTGTTTGTATTTTTGTTTAAAACATTTTTACATTTTTTTTCAGTAAACTTGTAGGAAGACAAACTGCTATGTCTCAGATAGGGGTCACAGCTTGGTTGCCATGTGTGTTTATGGCTTCTGATTATTTGCCACCTGTCGTTGACCAATCTTTTGTCTCCCCAGTGATATCAAGTCTGCAATTCTTGTGTGTTTAGACCCCTTAAATCTAAGGAGTATATTTCCTTAGAGAGGGGGTGAACTGTGTTGCCTCTGGGGAAAGTAGGCCACCTTCCTACAACTCGGGTATGTTAGGGTGCTGTGTACCAATTGTAGAAGTGTTATGGACTGAGCTGTTATCTGAGAAATGGGGGAATAAAAATAACAATATGGGAAACATAAAACGAAAGTCATAACTCTGTACAGAATGTAGTCAAAGGTGGTGAGGCTACGCACCGACGACGGAAACATGGCTCTTGCAAGCTTTGGGGGTGGGTCGTCTGTGAGGAGTGGACCTACTCCAATGCGTTGGTGGGGCTGAAGCCAGTAAATGGTGGACACATGACCCTGAAGACTTCCTCATTCAGGTGTATCCTGAAGTCTAAGATAGTACATATTTTAAATGTTGTTAAAGGACCACTATAGTGCCAGGAAAACATATTTGTTTTCCTGGCACTATAGTGCCCTGAGGGTGCCCCCACCCTCAGGGACCCCCTCTCGCCCGGCTCTGGAAGGGGGAAAGGGGTAAAAACTTACCTTTTTCCAACGCTGGGCGGGGAGCTCTCCTCCTCCGATCCTCCTCTGTTCCTCCCCGTCGGCTGAATGCGCACGCGCGGCAAGAGCTGCGCACGCATTCAGCCGGTCGCATAGGAAAGCATTATCAATGCTTTCCTATGGACGCTGGCGTGCGCTCACTGTGAAAATCACAGTGAGAAGCACGCAAGCGCCTCTAGTGGCTGTCAATGAGACAGCTGCTAGAGGGAATGGGGGAAGGCTTAACCCATTCATAAACATAGCAGTTTCTCTGAAACTGCTATGTTTATAAAAAAATGGGTTAACCCTAGCTGGACCTGGCACCCAGACCACTTCATTAAGCTGAAGTGGTCTGAGTGCCTAGAGTGGTCCTTTAACCTATTAACCAACATATACATATATAGCAATTAAAAAAAAAACATAACAGGGGCTTAGGCCCTTGACTAAGGCATCTTATCTGTTAGCAGTGGATGAGCATCTCTGCAATCGATCTGCAGGGTGGATCACAGTCACTTTATCGTGGCAACTTTCTGCCAGTCTGAGATGACTTTCGTTGGTGAACAGTGTGCAGGTCCGAGCAATTCTTATTCTCTCGGTGTTGCCATATTGATCTTCCTTTCTCTGAGCAGCTTCCTTCCTTCTTCCTGTAACAATACTTACCCGGTCTGTGTGCCGGCAGGGGTCCTCTGATCGTGCCGCATGTGGCTCGAGCACTCCTGTCTTCATGCTAGCCACATGCAGCTCGAAAACTCATTGCTCCTGGCGGGCCACGCACACCAAACAGTCTGATCGGGCGCACAGCCCGTACAGTATTGAGAGCACTTTCTTAAAGGGGAAATGGGAGTGTAACCTTGCGGTCGGCTCCCATTGGCCCACATCATTCCGGCGCCCCCATTCATGCAAATTAAAAGTAAAAGTATTTAAACTTACCTGGCCCTAGATTCTGTGCCCTATTGTAGTTTCTGTTTCCAGTACCCTTCAGTGCGTTCCTAGTGTTTTGTATTGTATTCTGGTATTGACCTTGGTTTTGTTTCATGACTTTCCTGAGTTTCTCTTTAACTCTTGCCTGTCTTGTTTGCCCTTATGATATTTACCGTGTACCTGACTCTAGCTAGTTCTCGTTTTCGCTGTCTCCCCGTTACCCTGATCTTGGCTCGTATTTCGACTACACTTTATTCTGTCTACTCTAAGGCCCGGTAAGAGGTTTATATTTCATTAGTCCATTCCTTGCTATCCTAAACTCTGCATGTTAGGGTTAATACTCCGTGACACTTCCACTGTCATAATAAGTCTCATGGCGTAATTGTGGCATATAATAATGCGGGCTGGGAATCCCTACTTGTGTTGTAGCTTCATTGTTATTAAGGCTTGGGTGATGGGAGCCAGGGCCTTACGTTTCTGGAGTGTGGAGGCTGATAAATCAGTGAAGAGCCTTACTGATGAGAACCGGTCTGGTAGGTTTGCCAGATGTCTCGAGGCTTGCATGATCCGGTCTTTAGTAGTGAAGTAGTGCAGCTTCATTATGACATCTCTGTGTGCTGATTGAGGTAAGTTCCTTGGCCTTGGTAGTCAATGAATGCGATCCAAGAGAAGCTCTTATTCTGGCAAGTCAGGAACTATGGCTTTGAAGAATTCCCTCGCATACCTGGACAGCTCTTGGGTGGAAATTTACTCCGCAATTCCCCGCAGACGAATGTTGCTACGCCTGTCTCGGTCCTCATGATCAGCCACTTTCTCTGTAAGAAGGTCTATTTTAGCATGAAGGTCCGTGTTGGTTGTTGTTGTGAGCTTAAATTATTTCTTCCATTTTATCTTCAAGTTGCGCTGTCCATTCCGCTATTGCCTGGATATCAGCCCGCACATCTCTTGCTAGTTTAGCAAATTCAGCTTGAATAGTCAACTGTAAGTCTGAGAGCATTTTTGGAATTGAAGAATCCGTTGCAGGAATCGAGGTATGCGTTAAGATACAAGTGCTGTCACTGTGGTCCAAGTAGGAGGCTGGCGAGCGCGGCCTGTCGGCACCATCTTGTAAGTGTGGTGAGGGTAACGTTGCGATCTGTAAAGTGGGTTTTTGCTTGCTTTTTTTAGTTGATTTTTGTGCCATTGTGTGCAGGGTTGTCACCCTTTTGAGGTTGTTGGCTTAATCGCTAGTTTTATTGCTGTTGGTAGGTCACTTACAAGGAGCTATCAGCTCACGCAGTAAAACAGATTTTAAGGTGACTAGTCTGCCCAATCATTCTACAGCTAGTCTACCACACCATCCCTATAGTTTCTCCAGCCGTAGCTTAGCTTGAACTTAACCTAATTGGCCGTGTATAGCAGGAATCCATCACCTTGTCCATCACCTGCATCTACCTTACTACAACAAATACTTTTTGTATTTTATGACTATTTAAAGTATTGTGGTTGTATAAATGTAACCTCATATATTTTTGGAAGGAAGAAATAATTGGGTGCCTCAAATTTAACATATTATTAAATGCAAGGACACTTCAAGTGGAACTATCACTTCTCCGGAAATTACATCTTTAAAGAAAACACCTGTGACTTGTATTAAAGGGACACTATGGAGATGGTTTTCATTTAGAGCTTCTGTAGGTTGGAATGAGTCCAGAACATGGGCTTTTTAGTAACTATCAGCATTAATATTGTAATTCTCTTAATGCAATTACTTTATACTAATAATTTGGTTTGGCTAGAAGTATCGCTGGCTACTAGTAAGATTGAAATACATGTGACATTTATAAGCTGTTAATAAAGTTAAAAAGAAAAAGAAAACAGGTGTGCCTAAAAAATGGGACTCTTATTGAAGTTTGCCGTTGCCAAAAAAGGTTGGGAACCACTCCTGTATGCAAAATAACCCCTACTGCTCTCTGTAGTGATTGTGTCGTCTTGAGTGCCCTGGTGCTGTTTCTTGTCGTGGTTCCTCTCTATGGGGTCCAGTGGGGATTTTCTCCCTGGAGTCCAGTGGGGATTTTCTCCCTGGGGTCCAGTGGAGATATTCTCCCTGGAAGTCTCCCTGCAGTCTTCCAGTTCCTTACTGCTCCCTCGCGCTGTTTAGTAATGCGGGGCCGGATTAATGTCATATTGCAGCTCCTGCATCAACACAGAATGCACGAGGAGCAGTGACAAACTGGAAACACATCAGCGCTCCTTCTGCGCTGCCTACATACACAACATACAAACACACCCCTTCAATCACACGCAAACATTACATAGAAACACACCCCTGAATGAAACCACTAAACTTATAAACAAACACCCCTTCATTCAATCATTAGTACTACACACAATAACACAGCTGCATGTAAGAGCCAACACTACATACAAACACACCCCTGAATTCAAACATAAACATAACACTCAAGTAAGAACAAGAGAGGAAATATTAGAAATGGGCAAGGCCCATATCAAAATTCCAAAAGGGTTACAGAGATATCAAGGGGCATAACCCCACACGATAATTTAAAATAAAAGAAAAGAGCTAAAGTGAAATGGCTGTTCCATTAGAGATGGAAAAATTGGACATCCATTACACAAAAAGATATCTCATAAAGATAGTAAAATAATTATTGGGTATAACCTTTATTAAGCCGCATATAGACAAAAAACAAAAAACTATAAAGTGTAATAATAGTGAAATACTTGTGAAAAAACAACAAGTGAGATAAAAACTGGGTAGATGCAATGTGGATATCCTCAAACGGTAATAGGGTGGCTAAAGTCTCTTAGGCTTAAATTTGCACTAAAGAGTATAATATAGATTATCACACAGCCACTCCCTATATACCGAAAAATCCACATAAATTGTCATAGACTCTTATATATTTTATTGGGCATACAAATTAGAATTAAATCAATAGTATCCATAGAATATACATCTATCGTATAAAGTTATTCTAAACTTGTTGCAAATAGAAAAGAGAGTCTGGAGGGAGGTTGAGTGAAAATATAATTATCTTTGCTACTCAGTTGGAGGTTAAGCAAAAAGTCTCAAATCTCTTAGCCCCAATGGCTTGAATGAAGGTTTTTCCTTCTCCCCCTACATTTAATCTTTATTATAGCGTTGTCCCATAATATCTGGTCCCCAACTATAGTCTGGATGGTATTATCAATAATGACTATAAAGTCTGGGAATACATATAAATATCTGGTCCCCAAATGTATTTTGGATGGGGTCATTAACACTGACTATAATGTCTGGGAATACACACAAATATATATAATTAAAATCTTTTAATGACCTACACACATTGTCTGTATATAATAATAAGAATAATTTTTTTGATCATTATCTATAATTTTTGGTACTTATACCTTAAACTGGCACTGATATAGTCTTTAGAGATCATGACCATAGTATTTTTATGACTACATAATTTTGTTTAGTCATGGGTACACTTTATGATTCGCTATCACCGAGTAGTTGCGTGAGTAATACTCATGACCTAATATACATATAATGAACACATATGATGGAGTAACACTCAATTAATGTGAATGGTGGTCCTTTAAGCAATTGGGTCCCAATTCTCATTTATGTCTTTAACATCATAATATACTAGTAACCATTGGCAAAAACAATGAGTGATAGATAGAAATGAGAGATAATTTAGGATCTCTTGTCTACATTTAAATTTGACAGTAGTAAGTATCCTGTACTATACATTCTCTCTTTATAATCTAAATGTCCTTTAATTTGAAGTTAAATCTATCCACTGGAAGATTACTAATGCCAATCTTACTTTGAATACATGGCTAATATGTTTCTAATTTATGTAATTATTGGGGTTTTCAAATTGAGCAACTTGTGTGGACGGACAACCTGCATTGTGTTGGGTTTGTTGCGTCACCATGGTGATAGCTAATGTTGTATACATACATACGAGTTACTTTGTGAGACACACCTCTTGAATGAGGCGTACGTGATCGGGGTGAAACCCCGCCCCTAGCTTATCCACAATCAAGCTGATTGGAGCATGTAAATACATGGGCGGGACCTCACCGACAAGCAAGCTGATTGGGTTGTGTGAACATACGGGCGGGATCTTACCCGGTATATAACTACCATCCCTCTCTCAGCCGTGCCAGAAGCTCTTGATAAAGGCGTGTGATTGCGCCGAAACGCGCGTCGAGCGGTAGTCGTGTTCTATTTTAATACTGGGGGATGCCGACTTTATGCTGAGGGATTTATTTTGAGTTTTACCGGGTCTTCTCAGCTGGAATCATCTTGTCAGGAATAGCTAGTGGCAGCAGTAGGAGTTAGGAATAGCGTCATCCGAGAGACTTTTTAGTCAGTGACTCTGAGCGTTAGGCTGCCCCGAAGCAGCAGCCAACTGTTTATACAGAAATCTACTACAGTGTATGCAGACGTGGACTCTCTATATAGATAGAGATACAGCAATTTATGCGGTTCTGAAGTACCAGTGTACAGTTTCTATATAGGAGTTCATTCTAGCGAATGCAGATGTGGATGGGGTTTATTATCTAAGTGGTTTTTGTTTATGGGATGTATTTTTTTGTCTGGCAGCTGCAATTATGAATTTGGGGTTTGAATTTTTTAACCCATCTCATTATTAAGAGACAATTAAGAGACAACTGCACATTAATCCCCCAGGTTTAATCCTAACCACTCATTGAGCATTCTATGTATATCTATATATACATCTATGCTTTAATTGGTACATTGAGACATCTTCTCTAGTATGGTTTCCATCAAACTAAGTACTATTTGTGGTCATTTATTAACTCTATCTATACTCCCATAAGGATACACTTGGATACTAGTAACCATATTGTATATATCTGTATAACGGCTGCTATTTATCTACTGACTAGACACTTTTTGCTTAACCTCCAACTGAGTAGCAAAGATAATTATATTTTCACTCAACCTCCCTCCAGACTCTCTTTTCTATTTGCAACAAGTTTAGAATAACTATATACGATAGATGTATATTCTATGGATACTATTGATTTAATTCTAATTTGTATGCCCAATAAAATATATAAGAGTCTATGACAATTTATGTGGATTTATCGGTATATAGGGAGTGGCTGTGTGATAATCTATATTATACTCTTTAGTGCAAATTTAAGCCTAAGAGACTTTAGCCACCCTATTACCGTTTGAGGATATCCACATTGCATCTACCCAGTTTTTATCTCACTTGTTGTTTTTTCACAAGTATTTCACTATTATTACACTTTATAGTTTTTTGTTTTTTGTCTATATGCGGCTTAATAAAGGTTATACCCAATAATTATTTTACTATCTTTATGAGATATCTTTTTGTGTAATGGATGTCCAATTTTTTCATCTCTAATGGAACAACCATAACACTCAAGTACACCACTGCATTCCAATGGTAACAGTACTTACAAATACACCCCTACATGCACACACGTACACTATCTAAAAACATGCTTACATTAAAATGCACAAACACTGCTCACAAATACAACCCTGCCAGGATGGGCAAATGGTAAATCCCCAGCTGGCATAGCTTCAGGGGAGTTTGACAGACAGGGATCTACCTATTGCGCACCCTTGTGCTAGAGGGAGCCCCCCCCAAAAAAACTTGCATCAAGGCTCTGTCTACATTAGTTCCCCCACTGGCCTGGAGTATTCCTTTAACAGAGAACCAAGGTGGGGGCACTCAGTTTTCGGATACAGCTAAATACATAGGTGTGAATTTCTATATTTAATTTTATTTAACTCGCCTTACAAACACATATTTGTTAAATATAATAGATACGTAAATATAATATTAAATATCTAGGGTAGTTACAGTTCATATTTATCTGGCACCTTGTGATTTTTCTTGATGGATAACATTTTTAGTGCGACATGGAAGCAATTGTAGCGACTTGTTCAGAAATAAAATCCATATATCTAGAAATATAAAAATAACATGACAGATAAGTATGTAGAAAATGCTCCAATATATGTGAATCCTAAAGAAATCCCATATCCCGAGTATATTAGTAGATAGCTCAAAGGCATGTGTTGTTCTTTTGAAATGTAGCAAAAGGGCCAATTATGTTTTCTTTACTCAAACGTATTCCATCTGGGGAGGTGTAAATTGCAGCTCATTAGGTTGGGAAAGGAGGGCAGACTGGTTACTGTGCAGTAAGCAGTCAATTAACATCTCATTTAACAAGTGAGGTTGTAGTTGTGCAGTTTAGTTATTTTTTTCTAGCTTTCTAACCCTGCTGAGACATGGCTAATGATATCAACTACTTGTAAATTTGATGGTGCCTCCTCTTGTGACCTGAGATCCTTAATATGAGATTTCCTCTGGGTCTGATCTCAAAGTCTACTTTTGCATTCTAGTACTTTTGAAAATGTCTTCTCAATTATTTTGTGTTTTGAGAACTTTTAATTAACAGATAAGTAGAATAATGGGGATATACAGCTATCTTTTTTACTTCCTCTACAGAATTGATACTTGCATATTACATTATTTTATCTCAAAGAACAAAAAAGCTTTGCAGTTATACCAATCTTGCATCAACATTCCAACATTCCAAGTTCTAGAACAGTCTATCCTGTGAGTGAAAGTTTTATTGTAGTAACAATTTCTCTTTAGTTAAAATTAAATGTTTAGAATATGATATATTGCTCCATGGCTAATAGGTCAACATTAAATTGCGTCCCCAATTGGGGATTTTACATGCCAAATGGATGGTACTAGCAAATCACAAGTGACATTTCATCTCACTCCTTAGCCTGCAGTCAAATGTTTCACGTCAGAATTTTTTTTGGTCTGCCAACTAATACATTTAAACTTTTTCTGTCGTTTTTCCACATGCACCATATGCTAGCGACTGTGATCTTCAAATATACATCTCTTGTCAGATGAACACCACTTTAATTTTCTCAGCGAATCTTTCAAGGTTAATTAGTCCTCTTAAAATATACATGGAAAAATTGCTCCATTAAGAGTGAAGGCTGACATATGAGTAGCCAGATTGCTTTCCTAGAAACAAATGTATCTATTAAAATGATTTATTTGAGATCTGAAGCATAATCTGGGTACATTATAGATCTCAGAAGAAGTTAGGTGACATCAGTGCAGCTCCCCAATAATTTAAGTTACTCCTACATATACTCATTAATCCAGAAACAGTACATGAAATCTCGGTCTTGCCAGATGTCATTAAACATTAGTAGTGGTTAAGGGAAGAAACTGTGCTTAATAAAATAGCAGGTGTGGCGCATTACCTGTCTTTGAAGTTCTCTGTGTCTGCTGTAGCTATCTCTTGTCATTCAAACAGTGATTGCGAATGTTAAGAATCATTCCTCTGAGTCTTTTATTAAGAACTTAAATGACAAATGCTACACCTACTAATGGATGCATCCATAATATTGTAAAGAAAATTATTTTGGAAACTATATATGTCATGCCCAGAATCTCCTATGAACGGACTTTAATTACCAGCATCATACACATAAGGCAGGATAATGCAGCTGCCCAGGGACTGGAGGTCATGTTTGGCACCATTTACCCTCTTTATGTGAAGAGTTAAGTGGGCCCAAACAAGTGCTCTGTGGAATCTTGACCATTGTCTGGTCATACAGACTCTGGCTCCACATTGTGGCATTGTTTAGTTGCTGTTACTGTACCACAGTCTATCTATTATTTAAAAATGAAAAAATATATATATTGCTGAATGTTTGAAAGTTCAGGTAAGATTGTGGGATTAAAGGGACATTATAGTCACCAGAACAACAACAGCTTAATGTAGTTGTTCTGGTGAGTATACTCATTCCCTGTAGGCCTTATTCCTTTATAATCAGGGAAAAGGCAGTGCTTATATTACAGCCTAGGGAGACCTCCACTGGCCAATTCTCAGATGGCTACTAGAGGTGCTTCCTAGGGCAGTGCTGTACAGTTTGCAATACTGACATTCAGTGTCTCCACCCTCTGCATGCAGACACTGAACTTTCCTCACAGAGATGCATTATTTTAATGCATATCTATGAGGAGATGCTGATTGGCCAAGGCAGTATTTGGCTCTGGCCCCAGCCAGCCTCCTTGGCTGTGATCATCAGAATTGACAATCTCAGCGAATCGTGCATTGTGATTGTCTGAGATCATCACTTTTGATGATGTCAGCCAAGGAGGCAGATCAGGGGCAGAGCCAGCACCAGGAGACTGGTAAGGTTTTGCTATATTTAGGGGGGCAAGGGAATGCCAGGGGGGCTAGATAGTGTTTTTAACACTATAGGGACAGTTATACATGTTTGTGTTCCTGACCCTATAGTGTTCCTTTAAATATACATGGTTGCATGGGTTAATGTTAGAAATCATAGTGTTTGAGTATGTATGAAAGGAACAGGTACTGACAGGTGAAGAAATGCTCAAAGAGTCTCAAGATTTCATTAACAAAAGAAATACTATAAATGTAGGCTGAAGCATTTATCAGTACAATTACCACAACCTCACGGTCCTCACCTCAAAGTGAACAGAGTGGAATAAAGAAAAATATAACTTAAAATAATAACGCACAACGTCCTCTAAGGATATCCCAGGTAGTATCCCTCAAAACAGCAAACCAATATATACAATGATGAGGATACAGCTGTAGATCTACAGAAAAAAAACACTGATATAGTGTAATACAGTACAGATATATGCACAAATAGTAATTCATTTACTAGAGACTTGATGGATATGTCGCCTTGGGGTGCCTTCCTTCAGAATCCTGGGGTGTTACTCCAAATCCTCTTTGTGCTTCAGGTAGTCATCACCACATACTATGAAAAGCAGGAAACCAGAAGATATACAAAAATGAGTAGGTATTTATTTATCTATCAAGGAGTAAACTATTACTAAAATGAGATGAAGTAACTTTATTTAACGAGTGTAATCCTGAACATACAAGAAGGAATTCAGAAAACCATCATTAGCTTTAAATGTTTTACACCACTGGATGCTTACTCATAGGCAATGCCTAGAGTAAGTCTCGCATTCTAAATAACTTGCAGTATGTTCTAGCTTAATCTTGGTGTTAAATAAAATTACCTGAATTACCTGGCTGAGCGATTTTTCTTTCCCTTTGGGCTTGGCATATTTTACTAATCTTCTTCCTTGCCATCCTGAATGCACCAACTGTGTACTTTAGATATGTTTATACATCTTTTTAAAGCAGCGTTTGTGTCCTCTGAAATTTCATATTACTCTGAGAATCCCTAAATTATTCCACTGTTTATACTTTTATCTGCTCCTTTCAACACACTTGATTCTTGAATTCTCCCACCTCATCTACCTATGATTTCATAAAACAGATTCTCCACTACATTACGTAACCCCACCTCAAGATGCCAAAGAATGAAACGCACACTACCCACCTCTTTAGACAAGAAAGATAACTAAAAATCCAAAAATATGCCTTGTCCTCAGCCAATTACTTCTATAATTCTGGGAGTGGCATGGAGGGAAGCCACCTATTCCTGTTATTTAATATATATATATATATATATATATATATATATATATATATATATATGTTAGTCCAATAAAAAAGGTATTACAAGATACAAATTTTATCTGTTTTTTTTTACATATATATAAATATATATAATCTCTAGAGGCAAAGCAGAACTTTTTCTTAAGCTTTATATATATCCTGTGCATTGCAGGGAATGCAGAATAATACATGTATTATCATAAGGTGCACTTTATTAATACAATGCTAAAGTATTTTTTTTCTAAATGTGGTAGGATAAAATCTTTAATTTTATGGCAGGTGTTAATGTATTTAAACATCTGTTAATATGTTTTTTCATCAGCAGGTGGCGCCGATTAGCTTCTACACTTAAATCCTCGCACGGTCACCTGTCTCTGTCCATTCCATGGGCATACTAATTCCAAGAGATCTTTATAAATACCAAAAATATTTCCCTGTTAAATATTTGAGTGCTGCAGATATGCCCCTTCCCACCTATGAGCTGTTTAATGGTTTGTTTACTTAATTATAAGGAAGAGTGGATTGTTTAGGAATGAATTAGAAATTGCTCTGGCACTCTAACGGTTGTCGGTGTGTCCCGATTTGGCATAACGTGACATAGTCAGGGGGACTTCCGCTTACTAATATAGAAACAGGGGCTTACTCACTAAACACCAAATTGTATTAAACTGAAAACTTAATTTGCTAAATTTAGGCTAAAAAAATAGCTGATTAAGAAAAATTCTCCAATTAAGCTATTGTTTTATTTATTTTTTTAGTTAACTTTTTCTTAGTTTGTGAAAAAGAATATATCATACAAAATTAACATTATTAGAACTGACCTTTGGCAAAATGATAATTTCTAGGTTCTGTATCACTCGTGCAGAGGGAACCTACCAGCATATTGATTCTATATTATATTCTTATTCATGACTACTTTGCTTATCATGAAAATACAAATAATAGATTTTGAAAATACAAACATACATATGGAAAGACACATGACAAAAACAATAACAATTGAGGACAAATTAGTGGACCACTGAATTCTTAACTTGTCTTTTTTTTGTAAGGCATCAATGAGTGGGATTTATGTATCATACATATCACATAAGCAAATTATAAGGTGTTTTAGAATACAGCTGCAAGCAGGTTACCCTACAAGGAGCCCCTTGGCTCCTGCTGAAATAATTGAACTCTCTACTTTATGACAAGAGAAAACTTGTCTGCATGAACAGTATTATGATTGGAACCCCTCCTGTTTGCATAGACATCTTCTGTTGCAGACCGACATTAACATTTCAGCTAATAGAGATGTCAGGGCCGTTTAGAGATTATGAACTCTGCGTCAGTCACTAATTAACAAGCCTGCAAAAGGTCCCAAACTGTAAGTCTGACTGAGGAAAAAGAATTATCCTCTATACTGACCCTGTTTTGATGGAAGCTACGCTGGTTGAGTTTATAGTCTCTATCTTTCTTTGGGCGTTAAGAGTAAGGCTTAACCCTTAGGGTTCCAGAGACACTTCTGTTTATATTTTATAAGGAGAATGACACAATATCTGATTTGTAATCCTGTACACATTAGGTAGAATAAACTAGCGGTGTACGAGTGTCATATATTTTGGTGAATCCCATTTCTAAAAGACAACCTTTAATATTATATAAAAAAAAGTGGGTTCATTGACTAAACCAGGAATTGGAAAATAAAGGAAAAGTTAACTGCAAGGTGTAGAAAAAAAGCACACAATTTGCCCTGCGCTTGTCAATACTTCTCTCTTTAATCTCTCCATTGTGTAGTAAAGGTAAAGTTGTAGGATTGTTACGTATCAGTCTTTAAAGAGTTTAGATGTAATTGAAACAATGTCTAGTAGAAATCCAAAACAAAGACAATAGCAAAAAATAGTTTTGCACATGCATTACATATAAGTAATA